TATATATATATATAATTACTGTAGTAATTGTTTTTATTTAGATATTATATATATATAATTTTTTACATTTGAGCCCCTGTCCCTGAGAAACTCTCTGCACATCCCTGTATAAATTGGATTGATTTTAATAACTTTATATATTTAATGTACTTGAAGTGTGCACCAAGCACTAAGAAAATACAAGTTGGGTATCAGGACTCGTTATCGGCAGATACTCAATATTCAATGACTCGGATCGGATCGGATCGGGGGCACAAAAAACCTGATCAGGACATCCCTAACATGTATGTATTATATTGATTGATATATTGAAGACATATCATGGTCATTGGTGTGAATTAGTGGTGAGATGCATTTCAACTGCTGAGAACTTTCCTGAGAAGAACCACAAGCTGTTGTGTACAAGAAGATGATATCAGAGTTTTGGGGAAGTGTCAGTGAGAACCTAAGAAGAAAAAGTTTCTTAATTGCAAGAGTTGGCCTCAAAATCAAAATAAAACATGGGAACGTGAGAGAAAAGGTGGAAGTTGTGAATCACCAAAGACTATATGTAGACTCAGACATAATATCCTTCCTCTTACCAAGAATACAATATGCTTAAGAAAGAAAAAGATCTTGACCTAAAAAGGAAAGAGTTTGGTTTACTCTTAATAATGAAATATATTTAACACATGCAATGTTAAACACTTTATTTCCTGTAACTTATAGCAACACCTCCTCCATGTCCTTCGCTACAGTTAAGGTTAGCTATGATTAAACATCAACTATACATCCATCCATACTATATATTAAACAAAATTACATTTGTGTTTTTTTCATGCCACTTCAACTGTTTCCTTAACTTACTATACTGTCAAGTAGATTTGTGTGTAGTTGTGCAGATTTTTTAGCACTATGTTTTTCTGTTAAACATTTGCCTAAATATATGTTGATATACTTGCCAAAATAAAAAATCCATGTTTCCCCAGAAGGGATGTTTATTTAGCATGTGTTGTAAGACAGATATGTTTTTGAGTTCTGTAATGACTCTAATTGCACATTGGAGGGCGCTGCTACTGTACATCATTAGAAGAATAATAGAAAGATGGAATTTATCTTATTATTATCTCATTATATATTTTGAAATCTCTTAATGGAGATTAATGTTGTTATCTTGTTATCTGCTTGAGCAGCTGGATCTCTCTTATGTCCCCATCATTACATATTCAGACTTCTCGCGAAAAACCACATTGCCAGTTACTGTATATATAGCTGAAGCAGGTCTGAGTCATACAACCTAATGAAGAACATTAGTTTATTGCTTCAAGGTGTGCTGTCTTTTAATGGCATTAGTATTGTGGCTGCAGTGATTAAACATGATTCATTTTATAGAGAAAAAAAAAGATATATAGTGGGATCCAAAAGTCTGAGACCACTAATAAAAAAAACTGTAATTTTTCATTCTTTTCTAACTAAATTCAACAGCTTTCATTACAAATTATATTATAAGCACAACAATTTGAGTGAAAAGCTGAACTGAAACTGAACTGGCATGATTTTGATTAAGTGATAAACAGCACAGCAGCACTTAAGCTGCCTGAACTCCACAAGTTTGTATAAACTCTGATGATCGTTATTATATTTGAGAAACATCCAAATAGTATCTTGTGTTTTTACATATAAATTTTTTTTTTTCTAGTATACGTTTATTTGCATGTTTAAAAGTGTGTGATTAAGTGAGTGTGTTTGTCTGAGAGACAAAACAATACAATCACAGCCAATGGGGCAAATACAGCAAATATGGACTAGTCAGCAGTAGGGCTGGATGACATGAAATTGCTGAACACAGCATTACTCACCTTGGCTATAATGGGACCAGCACTGTTCTATTTCAATACAACCAGTTTCAACACCAATTGTGTTGAGGATAATTTCTGAGTTTAAAAGCACAGCCAAAGCAGGAGTTCTCCTGTCAAGTCTGAGAACTTTGAGAGACTGCAGACAACACCCTAGCAAGCAGCATCCCCAAGTGACTCTGCACTTACAAGGTTCAATGACAGCTGCTACTTATATAATAAACAGTTTACCTTATTAGTGTTGCAAGGCACATCTTTGTGCTTCTCCATCTGAAATCCCTCCTTATTTGGTAGCCTTACAGTTGCCTTGTGTTTCCTTAGCACTAAATGGTGTCTGAGACAAAGTCACAATGGAGCCTTACTTGTCTAAAGATCTAACCTGTAAATTATGTATAATGATTATACTTAAACATTATTTTCCTGTAGATATCCTAAACATATCATCAGATGTCTAAATCAAGCCCTGTCCCTTTGGTAGCAAACTGAGTGTTTCATTATCGGGAGTCAGTCTATCCTTAACCAAATGTTTATTCTTGACTCTAAACACATAATCTAAAGTATTAAGCTAAACCAAACGAGGTCAGTATATTAAATGTCCAATGATTAGCCTCAAATGAAGAATTTCTACAGTGTCTCGCCATAGCCTTTTTTCTATATAACTGCACTATAATTTATACAGTTTGCAAGTAGTCACTTCTGTGGTCACATCTAAAAGTATGGGTAATTTTTTTAGTGAAAGGATTTTTTTTTTTAAAGAACTAATGTAAAGTGACAGTAAAGATTCATAATGTTACAAAAGATTTCTATTTCAATTAAATGCTGTTCTTCTGAACTTTCTATTCATCAAGGAATCCTGAAAAACAAAGTATCACACTTTCCATAAAATATTAAGTAGCACGACTGTTTTCAACATTGATAATAATACGAAATGTTTCTTGAGCAGCAAAGTAGCATATTAAAATGATTTCTGAAGGATCATGTGACACTGAAGACTGGAGTAGGCTAATGACTGCTGAAAATGTAACTTTGCCATCACAGGAATAAATTGCATTTTAAAATAAATTACAACAGAACACAGTTGTTTTAACATTTCACATTATTACTTTTTTACTCTTTTGATAAAAAAAATGCAGTAAGTTTGAGAGAAACTTTTGAACGGTTGTGTATACATATATACGTGCGTGTTTGATATTTCATTTAAACCTGTAGATTTGAAAAGTATGCTTTTAGACTATATTAGAAAGTCATTTATCAGGCACGTGAACTTCTGAATCTTGTGTGTTGCTCATCAGAATTATCTTCCAACTAAGACTAATTAATTGTCCACCTACACATTTCATTCAATCACGCAGAAATGATCACATGAAGAAGACATCAGCAGATGATCTGAATTAAACGCCTCAGCCTAAGTATAGACATGCTTGCACGGTCTGTCAGTTACCTTGTTGCCGTTTCACTAACACCATTACCTATCATTAAATCAAATGTAATCCACGGAATCCTCACTTTGTCATTCCAGCCCGACGCATTCCCTTTTTGGCTACAGCCTGCATGACGTAGTCAGGGAAGTTCTTATCACAGGTAGGGTGGGGTGGAAGAGAGTGGAAACAGCGTCAGCGCGCACCAATCAGATGCTCCGCCTGGCGTAAACCTTTGCGCTGATTGGTTGACGAGCCCTGGCTCTTTTAAGCCGTGCGTTCCCTCGCACTCAACGGGCGCCTTGCTTTGGTTATCCACAAGAAGGCGTCGGTCGTCGAGGAGGCGTTCAGGGATTTATCTGCATAAATAGATTAGATTTGGGAATAGACGTTTGGATCGTGGTGCCCTTGGAAGAAATAACGGGGGAAAGCGCAGGACAGAGCGAATTCGTGCCTTTTTCTCACTTGCGTTGGGGATATTTAGATTTCAGGATGCCAGTTTTCCACACCAAGACGATAGAGAGTATCCTGGAGCCGGTGGCTCAGCAGATATCCCACTTGGTTATCATGCACGAGGAGGGCGAAGTTGATGGGAAGGCGATCCCAGATCTCACCAGCCCAGTGGCGGCAGTGCAAGCGGCTGTCAGCAACCTCGTGCGGGTGAGGGTCCTGTCATCCATAAAGCATCTTTTTGCTCTTTTAGTTTATCTGTTTTATTTTCTTTATCGCACTTCATTTCGTTAAAACGCCCCCCCCCCCCTATAAAAAAATGACCATG